TCTGTATCTGTATCTGTATCTGTATCTGTATCTGTATCTGTATCTGTATCTGTATCTGTATCTGTATCTGTATCTGTATCTGTATCTGTATCTGTATCTGTTCTGTATCTGTATCTGTATCTGTATCTGTATCTGTATCTGTATCTGTATCTGTATCTGTATCTGTATCTGTATCTGTATCTGTATCTGTATCTGTATCTGTATCTGTATCTGTATCTGTATCTGTATCTGTATCTGTATCTGTATCTGTATCTGTATCTGTATCTGTATCTGTATCTGTATCTGTATCTGTATCTGTATCTGTATCTGTATCTGTATCTGTATCTGTATCTGTATCTGTATCTGTATCTGTATCTGTATCTGTATCTGTATCTGTATCTGTATCTGTATCTGTATCTGTATCTGTATCTGTATCTGTATCTGTATCTGTATCTGTATCTGTATCTGTATCTGTATCTGTATCTGTATCTGTATCTGTATCTGTATCTGTATCTGTATCTGTATCTGTATCTGTATCTGTATCTGTATCTGTATCTGTATCTGTATCTGTATCTGTATCTGTATCTGTATCTGTATCTGTATCTGTATCTGTATCTGTATCTGTATCTGTATCTGTATCTGTATCTGTATCTTTATCTGTATCTGTATCTGTATCTGTATCTGTATCTGTATCTGTATCTGTATCTGTATCTATAGCTGTAAGTGTATCTATGGACCAGTATTCAGATACAGATACAGATACAGGCTTGTAGCTGTATCTGTGCACTCCACAGGGCTCGGGGGCCTCTCTCACTTGCCGCGGGATGCTGGGCCAAGTGTGAAAAATGATTGATCGATTTCGATTTCGATTTCGATTCGTGCAGCACTCACAAAGGGCGCCGTGCTGTTTATAAAGAACTTCGACCATGGCTGAGGGCGAGGGGCTGAGGGCGAGGGTAGATGGCGGCGACAGCAACGACAATCGGCATAATAAGATAGCAATTATTTATCTCAAGCTGAATAAAGGCAATTTTTGATTAATGAAAGCAGCAAGAAAATCAAAAATAAAAGATACAAACGCGTGTATTTATAAATGAAGTGAAAGGAAGTGAAACGAAAGTGTTGACTGGCAATAGAAGATATTTCCATTTGTCCCCTAATAGCCAACTCCATTTCACAATTCGTCTCACCTTTGGGACTCGACTCTGACGACCTTTTGATTGTGCAAACAGCAACAAGTCAGATTCCACTTGAGCAGCCAGATCAAAACGAATTTTCACCTGGGTCAGCCGAGTTCAAAATGCTTTTCTAATAGAAATATCGATACTTGATCGAAATGTAATTAAAGTCAAATGTGATCAGCCAGACCTTGGTTGTCCTTAATGATTCCAGTTGAACTATTTTCCAGATTTAAACAATTCATAAAGAGCTCTCTCTTTTCTTTGCTTTTTGTCTTTTATGAGCTATATATGACAGCTGATGTGCGTAGAAACCTATCGAAAGTCGATGACTAAAGCGCATTTGCAACTAATCGAAAGACTTTATATCGATCATTTAATCGATGTTCATTGCTTTCAATACAATTTTTGAGCTTAAAAAGGAACTTTTATGTACAAAAATGAATATAATTTCCCAACAGCTCTTAAAGCCAAAAACTTCTCCATAAGCTATACTGAAATTTAATCAGCTTTGCTATTGCAGTTTATTAAATTTTTATAAAAAAGTAGAATTATAAAATAATTTTTAACAACAAATTAAAGGGGCAAAACTTTTGTTGCCTGTGAAATTGAAGGAAATTCCCGTAAATATTTTTTGGCACAGTCTAAAGTGGGTATATTTAAGCTTAATAGCTTGACAAATAGAAAAAGATAAAAAATGTTTGCTCAAGACTACCAAGACCTTTAGATGTAAATGAGATATATGTTAAATTTTTAAATTTTTATCAAGGGATAAAGTTTTGGGCCAGCTTACTTAAGACTATAAACTTCTAAAACTAAGCAGCCATATGAATGTAAAATAGAAGCGCTTTCAAGCAATCTTAAATTTCTATGTCTACTATCTACTATCTGAAGTCTTAAAGTAATATTCAAGAGTTTAAAGCATCATTTGCTGCATGCACAAGAGATTTTAGCTTAAAGTTAAAGCTTAAGCTAACTAAAATAAGCAAACATATGTTTATATATTTATATGTACATATATATATATATACATACATACATACATAATATATAAATATTTCTATGTAAATATAGTTGTTGATGGCAAAATGTTTATATATCTCTGGCAAAAAGTATCTCAACACTTGAAGATGCGCAGATACAAAAATACATACAAGCCAACGTGCATGCATACATATGTACTAACATTTGCTTTACATAGGCAGCCAAGAAATGATGAACAAAATGAAAGCATATCAAAATATAAAGAAGAAGAAGAAGCAGCAGCAGTAGCAGCAGCGCTATAGCTGCCTCGGTTCGTGCCCGTTCTCGGGGTCGGGTGCCTTTGTCACCAGAGCGGTGCTCGATTACTATTGGTGCAGGAGACAGGAAAAATCGCCCCCATGTTAAAGTGTCGCTTCGTGTGACACCAATGGCACACATACAAGCGCACACACACACACATACACACACACACGAACACGTATACACATACAGCTATATAAATTTGTGGCGCAATCGCATAGCCAGTAAAGCAAAGTCGTCGCTGCCGTCGCTGTTTGCAGCAAGCGAGAGGTGTGCTCACGAACACTTCGAGAGACAAACTCGCACACATATACACGCACACAGTCGCACGGGCAGGGCATTCATTGGTGTTTACTAAAAAGAGACGGACACACACTCTCAGCTCTCGGTCGCTGCCGCCGCCCCGTCGCCGGAGCGCAGTGGACAAGAAATCAAATGACAAAAATTTAAAAAAAAAAAGAAGTAAAAGAGAAAAAGCAAATCGAAAAAAAACTAGCAACAGCAGCGTGTGACGTCTACGAAGAGCAGGCGAAGGCGACAACAACATCAGCAGCAGCAACAACAACACTGCCGTAGTCCATAATGAGACGAAGACAAAACGACGGCAATTTCAAGTAAGCTACGGCACATGCACACCGAGCAGCGCTGCTGCGGTCGACGTCGCTGCCGGCGGCAACGGCAACAGCGACAATAAGCAGCGACAACGACGAATTGGCTGGCCATTGCCATTTCATTCGAACAAATGAAGGGGCCAACTCGTTTTAGCTCTGTCACACGCGGGCTGGCTAATGGGACGACACACACATACACACACACATATATATATACTTAGTTATATATATACAAGCGCACACACCAAGCCCCATGAGAGAGCGCACTGGCGCTCTTTGGTTGGCGAGCAAATGACACTGTGTGACGCTGTGGCCGGCTACGGGAGAGCAGCAGAGCGAGGGAGAGTGAGCAAAGGTGCGTGAGCAGGCAGGTGTGCTTGTGTGTGTGTGTGTGTGTTTGTATGCTTATGCTTATGCTGCTGTTGCTGTTGCCGCTCACTCGCTCGGTCAGCAAACACAAATACGTCGCATGTCAACCACTCGTCCACTCAGACGACAATGTGCAAGCGAGACAGCAATTGCCCAAAATACTTCGTTGTCCGCTCACACAAATGCACGTACACACACTCACTCACACATTTGACTGTGGTCGTGGTCGAATGTCCCACGAATTATTTTTTCCCTATACACACACGCACACACACACACATATATAGCTAAAGCGTTGACCATGCGTAAGGCGTTGGTTGTGTGCGTGAGGCATTAGATTCTCCTAAGCTTACGCCTACGCATATGCCATCGCCACCCCCAAAAAGCACTGTCAGTGGTCGCACTACTCTTATGGAATACTTTAAATTTTATGCCATCATAAACTGCCTTAAAGTTTTCCACCGGTAAATTTTTGAAACTTATTGAAAATGCAATCAAACAGCTAGCTAAAGAGAGCCGTTTTTCTCTTTGGTCTGCACTGCTTAGCCGACAGCTGCGCGCTAGCGTCAGTGGTGCGACTGAGAGAGAGCCAACTGCCAATAGCGCTATCGCATTCGTCTATGTATGCGTGCATACATGTACAGTGTAAGAGTGTGCTTGTTTGTGTGTGTGTGTGTACTGACCCAACGACGACAATGTGACACAGCCTAAACAAGCAGCAAGAGTAGCAGCAGCAGCAGCAGCAGGCAGCAAAAGGCATCACAAAGACCGCACGGCAACATACACGAATACACCTACAATAACAACTACAAATGCAGGCCAATTCCAATAGCGTAAGCGACGTCGCTGCTCTCATACTCTTGCTCTCTTCGCCGCACAAATACACACAGGCATACACACACACACACAGAGACAGTGTTCACTCGCTCGTTGGCTAGCTGGGCCTGTGCTGCGTTTCAGGTAGACATTTGTGGGGCAGTTACGTTGAACTTGTCCGCTGCTGCGTGTCTGCTGCTGTTGTCGTCTCTGCTGTGCCGTGCTCTTTGCCGTCGCTCGTCGCTGCGAGAGCAAAGTGTCACCCACCCCGCTGTCGCTGCCGCTGCCGCTGCGTATGCGTGCGTTTGTCTCTCCGTGTTCGTGCATGTGTGTGTGTGCTTGTGTGTCTGTGCTGCCGCTGTCTCTGCTGTTGTCGCTGCGCTGTCGCATTTGTCGTCGTCGTCGTCGTCGTTACATTTTTTCTGCTCGCAGCGGCACGACAATCAGTGTCACCCACGACTTTCGAAGGAGTGGATCTCTTCTGCTGCCGCTGCTTCTGCTTCTGTCGCAGTCACAGTCACAGTCACCGTCACAGTCACAGTCACAGTCACAACAATAACTGTTTCGTTGCCTTCTTCTTCGTCTCTGTGTTTTGTTTGTGTGCCCCGTGAGACTTGCAACATTGTTGCCACCGCCGTCGCCGTCGCCGTCGCGTTCGGACAACACGCAAAAAATCATTTTAAAACAATTGAAATAAAAACAATATTTTTAAAAATTCAAAACAAACAAACAAAAACTAAATGAAATATGCAAAATATGTGAAATTTTTTTGGTGACAAAAACAAAAACAAATCAAATTGAACGAGCAAAAAACACAACGAAAAATTCTGTGCAAATTCTAACGGACAATCGAAATTGTAAGTACAAAAAAAATTCCTTTCTTTAGTTAGTTTGACTATTTTTTTAATGTGTTTTGCCGTCGGCCAAAAAAAAAAAAGAAAAACGAAAGAAAGAAAAAATTGTTGAACAAATTTCGGGCGAAAATATTTCGAAAAAAAAGAAAAGATACGAAATTTGTAATTAAGATTTTTGTCTTCTTAAATGTTGCTTGAGATACAAATTGAGATACAAATGCGCGCAGAGCCCAAAGCTGAGCACTAGACCAAAAGATCAAGCCACAGCCACAGCCTCCGTTTGAGCCTCAGCTTTGGCAGCATCATCATCATTATCATTGCCAACGTCTCACTCTCTCTCAATCTCTCTCTCTCTCTGTCTCTTGCCCGTTCATTGCTCCTCCAATTTGTTGTTGTTGTTATTATTATAATGTGTACTAACAGCAACAGCCAACAAGCAACAACAACGATAAACAGGAGTTTGTTGTCGTCTCTCGTCAGCTCTTGGAATTTGTGACTTTCAACATGCCGATAATAAAAAAATATACAACAACAACAACAACAAACAACAAACAACAAACACATTCGACGCTGGCCATCAAAACTTGTGATTGGTTTTTTGTTGTTGTTGCTGCTGCTGCTGCTGTTGCCGCTTTCGTCTCTTAAGACATTTAAAGCGTTTGACAAAAATAATTACCACATGAACACACACACACACACACACACACACACTCGCACACTCGCACACTCGCCACTGCCATTACACATTTCGTTTTGTTACCAACGTTTCTAACGACTCGACGCTATAAAATCGAGAAAAAAAATGAGAGAAGTCTTGAACCAATTTGAAGCACCCAACTGAAGTTTCGATAGATTATTGGAAAATTAGCCATAGAAATTGCTCGATTGCTTTGCCCCACTGTGCAGTCGTGTTCTAGCTGCAGCTGAAGCTTACGCGTCACTGAAATGTCAGCAACATGAAAAGTATCTTCAGGATATAATAATGTTTTAAACAAGGCAAAGATACTTTTGTATCTTAATGATATATTTCAATCCCAAAAGATTGTATCTAAATGTATATGTGTATGACTTGAAGATACTTTGGCATATTTCTAATTCGAAATTAGTAAGATATACTTACAGATACTTTTGTATCTCTCAGATACTTGTCTATCTAATCGAAAATATTGCATCTTTTGTTAAAAATGTTGAGTGGTAGTTACTTTGGTATCTCACAGATACTTTTGTATCTTTTACTATTAATATTGTTTTTTATAGCAGCAAAGTGTTCAATATATATTCTAGAGGCACATTTACTCATAGATACTTTTGTATCTTTTGCTAGTGATATTGCATTTAATTGCTGCACAATTGTAATTTCATAGATACTTTTGTATCTTCAATATGAATTCAGTTGCTGAAATCCCTATATTATACCACGCTCCAGCAGCAACTGCATACAGATTCGTGTCGAGGCCCGTTCACCTGTTAGGTTAGCCGGATTATAGTGTTGCCACATCAAGTACATCGCAGCTCAACTGGGCTGTTGACTATGCTGAGCTTACATACATACAAGCATAGGTATGTGTTCATTTATGTCTGTTTATATGGCTGACATTGGCGCATGTGTTTGTTGAACATTTGAGATTGATTCCAAGCGATAGCGCAAGAGCGAGCAAGTGGCGAGGGGGGGGGAGGGCACCCAAAGGCGGCTAACAGCAGCAGCGCTGATCGCTCGACATGCGGCTGCGATGTGGCCGCGATCCCCATCGTCGCTTTAACAATTGTCCCCATCGTTGTCCGCCGCGCCGAGCCGCCCCTCGCGCCCGGTCGCTACACTTTGGCCATCAATTCTGCGCCGCTCGTCAGTCACAATTACAGCGAAACACGGCAACAACAATAAAAAGAAGAGAGAAAAAAAGCCACTTGGACTAGCTGCCGATCGCCGCGTGTTGTCGTCGTCTTTGCGGTTTTAATGGGGGCCCCCGAACAGACGAGCAGCCGAAAAGGCCGTAAAAGATTTTGGCCAAGCAAATGAGCCAACGCTGACCAGCGGCTGCTGACGTTTACTGCCGATCTAGCGACTGGCCAGCACAGTGATTCGATTCATCCCAGCACAAGTAGCGCTCACTCTTCCCCTCACTAATCCCGCCTCACTTACAGTTATATTCAAAGGCCGTTTGCAACACTTGCAGATTTTCCATAGATTCCGTTTGTGACTTTTCCACATTTGTCTCAAGCGGCACCACTGTGCGTGTGTCGCAGTGTCGCCGCGATTTAATTGCGCAGCAAATTTCAAATCTGTAATTGGCATGGGTTGCTGCTGCTGCCAACTCGAAGGGGACGGGCAGTGGCAGTGGCAGGGGCAGGGGCAGGGTCAGGGGCTGGGGCAGTAAACGTGCAGCGATGATAACACAAAAAGTCGCAAAAAGTTGCGCAACTTTTGCAGCTGTAACAGCGGCACTGCCCAGTCAACCTACGCCCATTTCTGCCATCAGCTTGTGATTAGGATTCTGGCATTGCCTTGAGCTACCCCCCGCCTGGAGTCCACGTCCCTTCTGGCTGCCCCTGATTTGGTGACCGACTGACTTCCAGCCACATTTGATTGACATCCGCGACACTTTGGACTTTCCAGTTGCCAGTTGACAGCCGACTCAAGTCGACTCACTCGCGAGCCTCTGCCTAGCGATTGACGACAAATAGTTCAAGATCCGACGGCAAAAAGACGCCTAAGTCAACTGTAGGTGCAAGTAAAAGATACTTTTGTATCTTGAAATGATTTGTTAGAGTTTCCCAACTGAAAGATACTTTTGTATCTTAAAAATTAGCTCAGTTAAATTTGTATATAAAGTTAAGATACTTTTGTATCTTAAAGTGATTGGCTGTAGTTCCCTTAGTAAAAGATACTTTTGTATCTTAAAGTGATTTGATGGACTTTTCTCAATAAAAGATACTTTTGTATCTTGAATTTAATTTTAAATCATACCAAGTTATATTTCTATATAAAAGAAGAAGTGAAGTGATTTGCTTAAGTTTGCCTAGTATAAGATACTTTTGTATCTTAAAGTGTTTTGCTGGAGTTCCCTTAGTAAAAGATACTTTTGTATCTCAAATTGACATTTAAATCATACTCAGTTGCCTTTCAACATACAGAAAATATACTTTTGTATCTGAAAGTAATTTGCTGGAGTTAGCTTAGCAAAAGATACTTTTGTATCTTTTGAAAGTCAATTCAAATGAAACTCAGCTGCATTTCTATACAAAGGCATGATTGAAAGATACTTTTATATTTTATAGATACTTTTCCTTGTTAGCTAAAAGCAGCATTTGTATCTGTCAGATACTGGTTTTTACTTGTAGATACTTATATATATTTAACAGATACTTTTATAGTTTTGGCATCTTTAAGTCACTTTCAGCTGCATTGCAGATACTTTTCTCGTATCTTTAAGTCACTTTTAGCTACATTTGTATCTTTGGCACACACGCACACACGCACACACACACACGCAAACTTAATCTGAAATGTGAATCCAATCTAATCCGCGACTTTTCTCTTCAACTTCTTCTGCTTGCAGCGAAACGAACCCAAAAACAAAAACAAAAAAAACAATGGAGCACATTATAAATCCATTCATGTCGTCCGCTTATCTGCTGGGACACCCGCATGCCCATCCCCTTCCCCACTCGCACTCGCACATTGGTGCCAAGTCGCCAGCCAGCTCGCCGGGCACAGGGGGCGCCGCGAGCAGCAGCAGCAGCAGCAAGTCCAGCTCGCACGCCAACTCGAAGCCGAAGCGCTGGGGCTCGCCGCCAATCAACTTGGCCGGCCAGTTCATCAATCCGGCGACGGGCAAGAAGCGCGTCCAGTGCTCCATTTGCTACAAGACCTTCTGCGACAAGGGCGCCCTCAAGATACACTTCTCGGCCGTGCATCTGCGCGAGATGCACAAGTGCACGGTGGACGGCTGCAACATGGTGTTCAGCTCGAGGCGTTCGCGCAATCGGCACAGCGCCAATCCGAATCCGAAGCTGCATTCGCCGCACATTCGTCGCAAGATTTCACCGCATGACGGACGCACCGCTCAACAGTTTCCCGTGTTCCCGGCGGCTGCGGCTGCGGCAGCTGCATTTCCGGGCCTTCTGCCGCCGCCACCTCACCATCCGCATCATCCACACCATCCGCATCATCCGGCCGTCGGCTATGGCCCCGCGGCTGCGGCGGCTCACGTCATGTTCGGCGGACAGTCGGGTCTTCACAATCTCGGCCTGCTCACAGGACGCACGCAGCACGAACGGCTCTTTGCAGAGGCGAGCGCGGACATCGATGCGGACATCGATGCGGATGTGGACGGTGAGGGCGATGCGGATGCGGATGCCGATGCCGATGATGAGGGCGTCTATGTGTATGTGGACATGCATGCCAACAGCTCCAGTCCAGCTAGTCAGGACTGCCACAGCGATGCGGATGCGGATGCAGATGCCGATACCGAGGCGGAGGCTGAGGCGGAGCTGCACTGCAGCCTGAGCCTGGCCAGCAACACCAACAGTCACACCAGCTTCGATGAGGAGGACCGCACGGAGCAGCCGCTCGACTTCAGCTTGCACAAGCGACGCGAGCCAAAATCGGAGCGGGAACGGCAGCGTGAACGGGAGCCACAGCCACGCTCAGCGCCCGAGCCGGAGCAGGAGCTGTGCGAGCGACGCGTCAAGCGTTCGCCCAGCCCTTGCGGCGGCAGCGGCTTCTCCATGGAGCGCCTGCTGGGCAAGCGTCGCCGGCACGACAGCTGTGCCTCCAGCTCCCAGGAGTCGACGACGACGGCCATCAAGATGGAGCTCGAGCTGGACAGCGACAGTGCCGACGCGCATACACATGAGCGCGCCCAAAGCGCCCATAGCATTGACCATGCCCACGATTTGTCGGCGCCGCTGGCAGCACGCAAACACCTGCCGAGCAGCAGCAGCTGCTCGCCCGCCGCCGCCCACGCGCTCCCAGCCACAGCGAACAGCCCCCAGCCCATGCCTATTGCCAGCGTCAATTCGATTGCCGTCGCGGGCCATGCGCTGGCGCCCTCGCCGCCAGCCATGCTCTTCGGCATGGATCTGGAGGAGCAGCATCATTTGCGGCTGCTGCAGACGCAAATGTTTGCGGCCGCAGCGGCAGCCGCCGCCAGCAACAGCGCCGCTCAGTCGCCCAGCGCAGCCGCCGCGCCATGGAATCTGCTATCCGAGGTCTATCGCTCGATGCTGCTCAGCAGCAGCAGCAGCAGCAGCAGCAGCAGCATCGGCAGCAGCCTGAAGGCGCCCCAAGCGGCGCCAACGACGCCGCAGTCAGCGCAGTACAGCGACATGCCGCCCACCAATGCCGCCATCTCCGTCTAAGGGATCGGCGTGCGCCCCACCACGCGCAGATCAAGCAATTAGAAGCGAAACAATTGATAAGCAGCAATCCACGCCCCCATTTTTTTCTGTGTATTTAAGTTGAGCATGCAGCCATGAAATGGCTTTTAGTGTATCCAAAAATTGAAATTGAAGTTGAAGTTGAAATTGAAGTTGATTAACTGCATCTTGATCTTGATTAACTGATTATATTGGTGCCGCTGTCCAGGCCGTGCCGCACTTAGCTTTTCTACTCGTACTTGTGTTATATATGAAAACCAATTTATGTTTTTTTTTAAACAAATCTATTGCTATTTCTATATATATATAAATATACGTATTTTTTTTTTGATATTCTAAGTTAATGCGACATCTAAGTGTAAAGTATTCAATCCGTTCCTCAGTGCAAGTGCACCCAGTGTGGTCGAGGGAGTTAGCCAGTGTGTGAGTGTTTGAGTGTATCTGTGTGTGTGTGTGTGTGAGTGTGTGTGTGCGCAACTTCTTGGACCCACTGTACGGCGTACAACGAAGTATTGATATTTATATATATAAACCCACATATATATATATAAATTGACTAAAAAGCAAATAATATATTATGTAATTTTAAGTGCAACAATTTTTTTTCATAGCCAATAACTATTTGTATTTGTAACTAACTTTATATAGGCATATACCACTATATATAAATATATTAAAAAAAACAGAGAAAATTAAAAAAAAATACCAACATATCTCGTGTGTTTATGCTCCCCACTTCAGTTCGTAGATTACTAAACAAATGCTGCAAAGTCTCGCAACGAACATGGCTAAATCTGAGATGTTTGCTCTGAGTAGATCCATGACTGTTTAGTAGAAATGTTATTGCTCTATCGAAAATCGAAAATCGAAAATCGAAAAATTGAAAATTTTGCTCCTTAAGAGTTTTATTGTGTATTTAATAATGATATTTCATTTGAACAATAAAAACCAAACAAAATTATAACAAAACTTGATGTCTTTCGTCTTGGGCGGGCCGAGAGTGGACGCTACAAATTCATAGTACTTAGTTCGATTTATATACATATATATAGAAGCTATATAAATAGAAATTGCTAGTTGCTAAGAAGATTAAAAAAGCAATTTATGAACTGAAATTTTAGAATTGCTACTTGAGTACATAGGAACTATGGCTACTTATAGATGCTTATGGTAGATAGTGAAAGATTGTACCTAGGCCTTAACTAGACTAGCTTAACTGCTATGACAATGTTTTATGGTAGATAGAGAAAGATTGTACCTAGGCTTTAACTAGACTAGCTTAACTGCTATGACAATGTTTTGGATTTAAGAAATATTTGATTTGATTGTTTGCAATTTCAAAAGTGAGAATTATTCCATCTTCTCTCTGACTCTCTCTTTCTTTCTATCTCTTACTATATATCGCTCTCTCTCTTTTTGTCTGACTTTATCTCTCGCTACATTCTCTGTTTCTTTAGAGATGCAGGCTCTCTCTCCCTCTCTCTCTCGATCTCGCTCTGTCCCTCAGTCTGCACTCAATCAGTTCAGAGAGCCTCTCCCTCAATCTTTATCTGCTTCTTTCGCTGTATTTTTCTCCCTCTCAATGCCTTTCTCATTATCTATCTTTCTCTCTCTCTCTCTCTCAGATTCTTATTCCCTCGCGGTTTCTCGCTCAGTCTTTCTTCGTCTGTTGCTCTCTTTCAGACGAACTCTATCAGTTTTTCTCTCTCTCTCTTTCTTTCTCATTGTTCAGTTAACCCAAGTTGGCTTGTCTGTAGGCAAATATTGAATATATATTTTCATATAAAATCGGTAAAAATTGCTGCGAAAATTAAGTCTTGCTGAGAGAGAAGCATTTGCGAGCTCATTAAAGAGAAATTAGAAATCATTTGGCTAAAGGAAACTGAACTCCTAAGAGCACTGTTCCTCTTCCTCTCCCTCTTCCTCTCCCACTCTCGCTCTCTTTCTATACACAAAACACAGTTATGTATCCATCTCTCCATATGCTCACTCGTCTTCAGATTTGTGGCATTTGTTGAGGAGGCGTGACATTCATTTCCAGGCTACTATTGGGTCTGTCTGACTGGTCGGATGGCAACCGCATTATCAACCACGTCATCATCATCATCATCATCATCATTATTATTATCATTATCATTGTATATAGGCTGCGCAGGCCACTTATGAACAGATTACACACATAGAAGATGCTCATTAGATAGGCAGGCACTCGAATGCCACATGAATAGAACATTGCGTGGCTCCAAATGCTAAATTCGGCATATAAAAAATCCTATAGAGTTTCAGATTGAGTATCCGAGCTGTAGCTGGAGCTGGAGCTGGAGCTTAGTTGCGTGAAACCGAAACCGAAACCGCAAAATTGACATGAATGCGTGTAGACTGTGAAGAAAATGTCAAGTGCTGCCTCGAGAGGGGGAGCTGAGGTCGAGCAGGCAACAAGACAAAAAACAGACAAGCAGAAGGATATAAGAGTGAGAGAGAGAGAGAGAGAGAGAGAGGGAGAGCGAGCTAGGCACAGCGAGTCGAGCAATCCGTCAGTGTGTATGTGTGTGTGTGTGTGTGCGTCAGTCAGACAGCTAAATGCTTGCCACATTATGAGATGATCCTTGGCAGCATTGTCACTTGAGACACCAACACACACACACACACGCACACACACACATATGTGTGGCAACCACAATGACAACGTCAACGTTGCTCTGTGAAATGGCTGCTCTCATCTCTGGGGATCTATTTACTTTTAAGTTTTTCTGAATTGGATGATGTCACGAGGCGGCAGCCGTCAGCGGGGCGGTGGTGCGGCGCGCTCTGAGTGGGTGACTTTTGTATTCAAGTGGTTTGGCAATGCGACGGAAGCAAAGGAAAAGGTTTCGCTTCGTGCTGCGCATTTTTTCTTCTTTCTTTTTGGCCTTATGAAATATTAGAAAAATTTACAAAGCGTTAAAAATTAACATTTCAAATGGGATTGCGATTGGGATTGGGATGTGTGTGCGTGTGTGTTTGTGTGTGTGTGTGGCTGCCTCTCGTCGCTGGGGGGATGCAAATGCGTTTATTTTTGGAGACAATTGAAAACCACTCGAGGGTTATTGAGATGTGACAGTCAAGTAGTCGGAGACGCAGACACACAGACATAGACGAAGATGGAGCAGCAGAAGTGAGACAGAGTGAGAGGCAGAGAGAGAGATAGAGAGAGAGAGACAAAGCTGATTCGCAATGTTGCGGCGCGTCGAGTTAACTTGACGTTTGAAATAGGATCAACTGTTTACAATTTTGGCCACACGGCCAGCGCGAATTCATTTGGCAACAGCTACAAGCATAGATATAGGTACACGTATGTGTGTGTGTGTGTGAGTCAGTTAGCTGCAGATACATTTGCATGCTGCTTGCAGATACATCGCAACAATGTCCAATGCCACATCAAGTGTGGCACTTGACAGGCGAATGACACTGCCAAAAAAAAACTCGTTATTCATGCAATCCAATTCAAGTCAGCTGGAGCAGGAGTCAGAGAGAAGGGAAGAGGGAAAGGATCGAAGCTGCTGTTAATAATTTGAAAGCCATTGTCAAATGCCCTTTGCCTAAATCTATGAATACTTGAGCTAAGAGCAAGAGCTCTCGCTGAGAGAGTTCAGAGGCTTCAAAACAAATTTCCATGAAGATTTCATTTCTGTCAACTGGCAACAGACATTGATAGTTCGCCCTGATAAATCTAATTGCCCGAAGCAAAAGGTAGTTCTTGGTAGTCCGATATATATATATATATATATCGGCTGATATAGATATCGAGCATGTCATATGGCTGCGCTTGGGGTCACTCGATCAACCGGTTGGCAGTCGTAACTGATAAGCTTCTGTTTCGTGGAGATGCAATCATCGTAAAATGCATTCAAATTTGGGTAATTGTAGAGGCAGCCAAGAGGAGGAGCAGCAGCAGAAGAGACAACTTCGATTCCAAGTAAATAAATATACTTAATTTTAATGACATAGAAATTGCTGGTAAAGTGCTCGCTGATTGAATCTCGTTAGTTGCTCGTGTCGGAGGCTGGGAGAATACCAAGAAGCGGCCTCGGCTCGCTCTCAGTACTTGGGCAATTAATTCGACATTTTAATTTACATTTCATGGGAACATGAAGCAGACACAGGTGACTGTATCTAATACTCTGCACGAGTGTGTGTGCGTGTGTGTGCAGCCCGAAGTAAACGAACAACTTTTGGACAAGTGGCAGAAGCAAAAGACATCGACAGTTGCTCATTTACCAGCTGCCAGACACAATCTGCATGGGCAATAGCCAAACTCTCGATTCTGTTGAAGTTTACGAAAGTCGAATCAAAGATCTCTGCCCCTAGCTCGTACCCCCAGCTCTGCCTCTCCCTACCTCCCTCGCGCTCTCTCTCTCGCTGTCATTATCAAGGTTAAATATGACGCATAAAATATTATTCTGACGGCATTGAGTTCAGTTTTTATTATGTAGCTTAGTCTATATACACATATACATCTATATATATAACAGATTTGCCACTTGAATGGGCTACAAATGAGTTTTATACAGTCTCTGCAAGCGGCGCTGCTTTTTATAGAATTTTGAGTAGTTAATTTAAGGAGTCTGGCTGAGGTAGGCGTTTGGCATGGCGTGACCCAGCAAGCGTGATACTATTTCCGATAGCTATTTATCGGCAGGCGCTTATGTTATCGATAACTTGCAGCTGTTTAAATATTCAATTTGATTTGCCATTTAGAGTGTTGTAATGCTTCAAGCTGTTAAGTTGACATTAGCTCAAATACTTGACAGTTCTCTGCGTCAAAAGTTTAAAGCTTAACAAGCGAGAATCAGCTCAACCAAGGAGAGTCCTTTAGTGCATAATGGCATGAATACAGCTGGAAGGTATAGCCAAAAGTAAAAGCATTCCCTTCGACTTATTTGTCGCTCTCAATTCCCTATTTATATATTTTAAAATCTAGCAACTTCCAAGTCGAGGCTATCTGAACTTTAGACAGTTCCTAGCCTAGGTAAAGAAATGTGCAAAGTCTCAGCTTAGTATAATGTAATTTAAAGCCAAAACTCGACTAGAAGCCGGCTTGATTAATAACGCATTTAGTGG